GAAGATGGCCAGGCCAAGTATTTCATGCAACCTTTAACTCACATGCAAGGGGTGTAGCTATTCTTATTCATAGGTCTCTATCATTACAAGTAACAAAAACTATTCAAGACCCTTCGGGAAGATATATTATTGTTCAAGGAAATATTTTAAAACAAAAAATAAACTTAATAAATATTTATGGTCCCAATGATAATACTCCCTTTTTTGAGAAAGTCTTTCTGACTGTGTCTACATTAGAGGGATTCAATATAATTGGAGGAGATTTTAATTGTACACTCGATCCAAAATTGGATAGGTCCACTCAAATTGATACAACTCATATTCAAAATAGGAAAATGGTAATTGGTTATATGAAAGATTTAAGCTTAATTGAAATATGGAGAAGATTAAACCCAAGTAAAAAAGAATATTCTTGCTACTCAAGTACATATAAAACCCATTCAAGGATCGATTATTTTCTTATTTCAATGGAACTTTTGCCAAACATAAAGAAATGCTGGTATAACAGCATAGTAATTAGTGATCATGCAGCAGTGTCTTTGGAAATTCATTTAGGTACGGTCGATCGTCATCCTAGATGGAGGTTACAAACCTACTTGTTAAAAGACCCAGATTTTATTACATTTGTAGAAAAGAGTATTGATCAATATTTTGAATTAAACACAAATGAAACTACGGCTAATATTAGATGGGAAGCTTTCAAGGCCTATATAAGGGGAGAAATTATAAGTTACACAAGCGCCAAAACGAAACAAAAAAATCAAGAATTGAAATTACTAGAAGACCAAATTAAAAAATATGAAATTGAAATTAGTATTGATAATAACCCTGACAAATTACATAATTTAGCTATTATGAGAGCCAATTATGATAAGCTAGCAATTGAAAAAGTGGCAAAAACTCTTTTATGGACCAAACAAATGTATTACGATCAAGGGGAAAAAGCTGGTAAATTATTAGCATGGAGGATAAAGAAAATGCAATCTGAAAGGACAATTAAAAGTATAAAATCAAAATCTGGAAATTTAACTTTAGATTCAAAAGAGATTAATGAACGGTTTAGTGATTTTTACCAAACTCTATATAAATCTGAAAGTAATAAAAATATTAATGTGAAAAAAATATTTCTGGATCAGTTACAATTCAGGACCTTATCAGAGGATGAAAAGACAACACTAGATAGTCCATTAACTGTAGAAGATCTTAGTGAAGCTATTGGTGATATGAATAGTGGCAAAGCACCAGGACCGGACGGTCTTCCTATTGAATTCTATAAAACATTTAAAAAACAACTTTTAAGGCCATTATTAGATATGTATGAAGAATCATTTAAAGTAGGAATGCTTCCCGACTCATTAAGATTAGCAATAATAACTTTAATATTAAAACCTAATAAACCCCCAACTGAATGCTCGTCTTACAGACCAATTAGCTTAATGGGATGCGATATAAAGATACTTTGCAAAATACTTTCTAGAAGACTAGACCAGTACCTCCCTCAGTTAATTGCTGATGATCAACAAGGTTTTATACAAAAAAGACAGGGATACCATAATATCAGAAGGGTCTTGAATATATTATATGAGAAACATAATGAGAAAAATACAGCAATGCTATCAATAGATGCATGCCAAGCATTTGACCGGATAGAATGGGACTATCTTTTTGAAGTGCTCCCAAGATTTGGACTTGGTGAAACGTTTCTTAAATGGATTCGGCTTTTGTATACAAACCCAACTGTTGAAATACTAACCAATAATATAATTTCAAAACCTTTTAATTTGCAGCGATCTACCCGTCAAGGATGCCCCTTGTCCCCACTGTTATTTGTACTGGCAGTTGAGCCTTTAGCTATGTCAGTAAGAACAAATCCAGAGATATCAGGTATTACAATTGGGAGGAAAGATCACCGCATTTCTTTATTTGCAGATGACATAATACTATTTATGACAGATTTGTTAAATACTATTCCTAAAATTATGAAACTAATTGAAAATTTTGGACTTGTTTCTGGATATAAAATTAACAACTCAAAGTCAGTATTATTATTTCTAAATGAAGAAGAAAGACATAAGCCCATAATAAAGACTCCATTTAGAGTAACTACTGATGGTTTTAGTTATTTAGGTGTTAAAATTATCCCCGACCTTAATAAAATTGTATCAACAAACTATGATCCCCTTATGGACAGAACCACTAAAGTATTACAAAAATGGTCAAATTTACCAATATCTATGATTGGACGAATTAATATAATAAAAATGTCTATTTTACCTAAATTTTTATATTATTTTCAAACACTCCCACTACCGTTACCAAATACATTTTATGATAAACTAAATAAACTGCTTGCCCAGTTCATTTGGAATGACAGAAAAGCCAGACTTCGCCTCAAGCTATTACATTTACCCTATGAAAGGGGAGGTCTGCAATTTCCAAATTTCAGATGGTATTACATGGCTGCCCAGCTGACCACAGCAGTATATTATTTCTACACAACAACGCCCCCAGCATGGGTAGATATTGAACAAACCTCCACCCCAGATTTACCATTAAAAATGTATTTATATTCATCAGATATTAAGTCACTAAAAAAAAATACCAAAAATCCATTTCTAAAAAATACAATTTTAATTTGGCATTCCTCTCATAAATATATAGATAATGTACCCAAATTGTCACAGTTCACTCCTATCTGGGGTAATAAACAATTTATTCCTGGTAATAAAGATGGAGGTTTCAAGTTGTGGAATACAAGAGGCATCCAAAGTATAAGAGATTTGTATGAAGATGGGATTTTACTTTCCTTTGAGCTTTTATGTAAAAAATATGTGGTTCCTAAAAAACATTTCTTTAAATACCTACAGTTAAAGAGTTACATGTCATCAAAAGAAACACAGATTAGTTGTATACCATCTTTATCAAAATTGGAGGAAATAACTATCCAAAATTTAGAAGGAAGAGGTCATGTTTCTATATATTACAATTTTATGGTCAAACATAGTAATGAATCAACATTGGATAAATTAAATGCCTGGAAAGCAGATATGCAAGAGGAGATAGATGAGGCAGACTGGAATTATGTTTGCTTAAAAGCTCAAACGCAAACAATAAATACCAGGTTTAAACTACTTCAATATAAATGGTTAATGAGAATGTATATAACCCCTGTGAAACTTCATCATATGTCTGCTAATATTCCAGATGTGTGTTCTAAATGTTTAGATGATAAAGGTACACTATATCACTGCCTCTGGCAATGTCCTAAAATACAAAAGTTTTGGAAAGATATAACTGAATGTATGTCAGACATGTTTAATATTAAAATTCCTTTAAATGCCAAGCTCTGTATTCTTGGGTTGTATCCTAAGGAACTTACAATTGGAAATACAAGAATTTTGGATTTTGGTTTCCTTCAAGCTAGAAGGGCTATAGCATTATACTGGAAACACATGGATGCTCCATCCATAGAAATGTGGAAAAAAGAAATATTGAACTGTATTGGACTGGAGAGACTAACTTATATTATCAAAGGCAAGCAGAAGAACTTTGACTATCTTTGGGAACCATATATGAATATTATGTAAATTGTGTGTTTGTAAACATGTTTTTTATTTATTAATACTTTTTTTTTTCCCCTTTTTTCTTTTTTTTTTCCTTTTGTATTATTATGTTATTGTTTACGTCACACATATATATAATTCAAATATTGTATATGTATGTATGTGCGTATATGTGTGTATGTATGTGTATGTATGTATATGTGTATATGTGTGTATGCATGTATGTATATGTATATATTTATATTTATTATTATAATTATTATTATTTTTTTTTTTTTATGTATGGGTGTATATACATAAGAAGGGTGTAGATATGTGCTGTGTAGGCTGCATTGTTGTCTGTATGCCTAGTTGATGGGGTGAAAAGGAAAAAAAATCAATAAACATATTGGGAAAAAAAAAAAACCACTTTTTGGGTACCCTTTTGCAGAGGGTACCTAATTGTAACGCCTGGATACACTCTAGAAGGCAAGGATCGCAGGATTTATCAAAAATGTAGATTTTTTTTTACAAAGACTCACTTGGAAGGACATATGATACACAGGAGACTCAGGAACAACATGGGGTGACAACAATACACAACTCAGAATAACAGACAATGGACTGACTAAACACAAATACACGTGCCATGATGAAAACTAATGACTAACAGGAGTGAGACACAGGTGAAACTCATGAACACAATGAAACATGGGGAAACAGAACAAAGGGGGTCACATAGTATTACACCCCAAGTCTAGGGGAAACAAAAAGGGCATAATAAACAAAGAAAAAACAAATGTGTTGGAGTGGTGGATTTCCCAAACTAAACAAATCTTAAAGCAAAAGATTCCCTTCGGTCGACAACCAAACTCACACACTCAATTGAGAGTATATATGAAGATATTTATTTTAGAAAATAGGGTTTATATATAAATGAGCATTTCGTCAGGGTGACCACAGGCCAAAATAACAAACAAAAGAATCTATAAAATAAAGCCATTAAATTTCCTATTACTATTTAAAGAAAAATACAAGAATCTTACCTGACTCCCTAACATAAACAAAGTCAAAAGTAATCAAATAAATAGGCAGGTCACCCCTACACGCTCAAACTCTCAAAAATATTTAAACATATGATGGTCATCAATACAAAGTTGGCTGTTGTTGGTCGTCGGCCAAAGGGGTGAGGGAAACCCAGGAGCTTCACTCCAAACACCGAACACAGCAGAAATGAGCTCTTCGAACCCTGCCGGAAGCTCCTTTTTTATACGTGCTTTTGCGACCAGCAGCCAATCAAAATAGGGAATCACGCCGGTATGTGAGCCTATGAAACAACAGAAAAACAACAAGAAGGCGGGACAAAAGAAAAAGACAGGACAATCCGCAATAATACATAAATAAATAAACTCCAGTCGTAACACATAGTGAAAACAAACACACATGGAGAATGGAAACATGTGGACGGTCATAAGACTAACCCCCCCACTGAAGGTGCGTCCTCGTACCTTTAACAGGAGAGACGAGGAAACAAGATGGGAAGGAGAGGCCAGGGAGGAGTCACAGGAGGATGGAGCCAGGAAGGGAGCTGGAGCAGGAGGCGTAGGACCCAGGACACAGCCAGGGGGATGGCCCAAGGTGGAGTCGACGAAGGGAGGAGCCATGGAGGAGGAGTGGTCGCTGACTCCAGGGGGTCGACCAAGGTGATATCTCGGTCCCAGAGGGCCGAGGTGGAACAGACGGCTCACCCAACCGAGGCGAAGACATGGGTCTGGATGTCCGGGTCAGAGCCAGACCGACAGAGGACTGAGGCGTAGCTGGAGAGAATAAAGAGCTCAACGTACAAACATGAGAGTGACGCGTGAAAAAAAGAAACAACTGTTTCTTTCAGCAACCTGAAAGATAAACAAACTGCCATTATTAATAATTATTATCATCACTTTTTGCACTAATATGAACTCGGAATGACAGAAATACTTTCTAATAAGATGTTAGCGTTACATATGCTGGTGAAGAATAAGGATGAGATAATTGTGCTGACTGTATACGTTTCGTATTCTTTATGAAACCAAATAAGGACAAAATATATGTTGTTGTTTTTTTGTAATTAGTAACATTTTAGAGACTCTTTTGTCTTGTATAAGTTAATGGCAGATGTACTATGTAACGGAACAGTAGGCTATTTTGCTTAATTACGATATGAGAACATTGAGTGAGAATGACGTCGACTGCAACTTTCTGCTGTATGCCACGGCTACTAAAAGTGTACCATTGGTAGCCTTTGGCAGTGGAGATACAAGCCTGATAAAGGTGACCCATACTGAACCGTACCGAACCATTCAGTGAAAATGAGGCATTATTTCTGTATTTCTGTCAGGTGGATCCCTGAAAGCACCACATTCTTTTGTGTCCGCAATGTATTTTGTCCTTCTGCATTGCCAACTTTTGCTTAATGTGTAATTTAGCACGTTTCATTATTATAGCCGTTTCACTAAGTGGTTTGGTACGGTTTAGTTCGGTACGATTTTTACGTCCTTTTTCCACTATTAAAAAGTACCTAAAAGCGAACCATACTGTACCACTTTTTGGCTACCCTTTGCAAAGGGTACCTAGCACATCAAAAGGGTACCAAAAGGCGGAGCTAGATGCGCAGATGAACGCTATTGGTCTACAGAGAATCGTCACTCGCGCATACACAAGGGGAGAATGGAAACAAAGTAACAGACAGTTTTAAATACACAGCCGAGACATTACACCGTAATAATATATACATATAATAACAAGCCATGGTTGACCAGAGCTCAAACAAACATTGTCGTCATCTTAATGAACAGCCACAAAGCCAAGAAGAACAAAATCTGCAGTGTCCTGTTGTTGTTTTACTAGGCCGTCTAAAAGTGTGAGGGGTTTCACGGTTTCCAGGAAGCTCGCGATCGCTTAGTTTCATTCTCACTGTCGAGTTTATTATTGGGTTTTGAATGCTCTACTGTGGATGAGTCTTGTGTTCTTCGGTCTCTTGATTTCTCCTCATTTCTCTTTATTCTCTGTTGTTTTCAGCTCTGCCTGTTCCTGTCCTCATCCTCAACTCTTCTCAATGTTCTTCATCCTCATCTTCATCAGTGCAGTATTGTTCAGTGCTGTGTTCAGTGGTGAATGTGAGCGCTGTGAGTCTCTCCTGGTACAAAGGAAACAGTTTATTGTCCAGCATCAGTGTGTCTGATCTCAGCATCAGTCTCTCTCTACCTCTGGAGGTGGAATATCAGGAGAAAAACACCTACAGCTGTGTGATCAACAACACCATCAGCAACCAGACTCAACATCTGGACATCAGTCAACTCTGTCCCACATGTTCAGGTACAGCAGAGCTGATATTAGTGGATGGCAGTGCTGATATGAAGCTTTATTGACTGATCTGAGCTCAGTTTGATGTGTTTGTTCCTCAGGCTCTGTTCACTGCTGTGGTCCTACTGAAGCTGTGATCCGATTGGTCCTCTCTGTTCTGGTGGGCGTGGCTACTGTCATTATTGTGCTTTATGACATCAGATCCAGAAGAGCTGAACCAGATCAAGCACATATTCACGCATCACAAACCTGAATGATGATGTCAGAGAACTGCTTTCAGTCATTTCAGCTTCATTTATTTTGAAGATTTTAGATGAACCTGATGGTTCTGATGCAGCTCATGTGAGGGTTTGACATAAATACAGCAGCAGACTTCAAATACAAAGCTTTGCTTTTATTTAGTTCAGTACAACAGGCTTTACTAATGAACATTTTATATATGATTTAATTTTTCATGTTTGTTTTGTAGTGTTACTATTTTACAGATTCAGTTTGATTTATTGTTTATATTTCTCTAAAATAAGACACAGATCTTACTTCACTGTGCATTTGTCAGATGTATTTGCTTGTCTTCATCAATAAAGTTTTCTCTGTCTAAATGTAAAGTCTCTTCATGTTGTATTTGATTGTGTCGAGCGCCCTCTGGAGGAGTAAAACAGTTGAGCAGAGCAGAAATCTTCATCTTCATGATCTGCACAAATTCACAAACATAAATCATGACGTCATTTCACTTATAATCTTCATTTATTTGTAATGGCTTTATGTTTTCATTTGCTGATCTTTCCACCCTGAAAGATTTCAGATCAAACTGCAACTCGAGCGCTTGTGCTATTAAATGTGTGTTGAGATGAAAGATGGCTGATTCACTGATTTATCCTCTTTAACACTTACAGGACTTTCAGATCACTTCTTATTACACTTTACCCTGTCTTGTTATTATTGTGCCGATCAGATGTCCATCCTATCAAGATCCTTTCATCGATAATGTTTATGTTGTCATTTAAGCTCTCTTTATACTGATAAAAGTATTATTATTATTATTGTTAAAACTCGAGCTGGACATTTCCCCGTTTTACAGAGCGATCACACACACAGTAAAAACCCAAGTTAGTACACTTTGTTGCATGATACAGCAGTCCTGTAATGAGTATCTTCACCAGCAGAGGGCGCTGAGAGTTTCATCAAGATTCATCGCACACCACCTTGAAGAAACGGCTATCGGCTAATTGCTGATCATAGATATGTACACTAGATATCGCATAGGGACCCTGAGCATGCGTCAATAGCGCCGCCACATTGGTACAGCGCTCCTAGGACAAATGTCATTCAACCGCACTAGTCAAGACAGTGTTATTACGTGAAGATGCGGGACTTTATCGCTGTCTACGGGTGTAGAGCAAACAAAGAAAACAAAGCACAAAGGCAGAACATTTCATAGGTAATATCAAGTTTTTTTCTGTTTTTGTATGTTCTGAACTTTTGTGCTAAACAGGTAACGTTATTAATGATAACAGTCACTTACTGCATTCACCATAAGGCAAAGCAGCTCCAACTCACACTAAACACTCGGCTTATGCTAGTTTTGTTGAATAAAATCAGCAAACAATGCAAAAGAAATATGACAACGAGATGCTGCACTGCCAGAAACTTGTATTATTGTCGGCTAACGTTAGTGAAAGAGTCGTTCGGGAGATTCATTCACAAACTAATCGTTCCCTCCGTCAGTATGAGAAGTGAAAGCAGGAGAGGAGCTGTGTTTCAGGACATGATGAGATCAAATTTAACAGGGAGGGTGAATAGTATATTTCTGTACACACAAACACAAGCTTTTTGTCAGGAATGCCCGTGCGGTCACTGATCCATCAATGTAGAAAAGTGAAGTAAAATTATCATTTTCGTAATTAGAAAAAAAAAATTACATAATAACATCCAGGAAAACTCCCGATCATAGATATATGTGTATATGTGTATATCTCTGGCTTTGGATGGCCACAGTCCTCCACTGTACCTTGGTCCCGCATTCATTTCAAAGGAGCGCTACTCTGTAGCAAGATGGCGGCGCTATTGATGCATTCTGTCCAATAGACAACAATAGGCCAGGCGACATCTAGTGTATATATCTATGATTGCTGATTAGCAAAAGACAGACATTATTATTAAAGGTAGGCACATATTATCTTGAAACTCTTCATGACTGTTTTGAAGTGTGGTATAAATGCTCACAAAACTTTTAGCATTACAAGTCAATAATTCATTCACAGCAAGTGGGTTTAGATAATAATATATTAACTTAATGATTATATTCGCTATATTTAACCTGTACATTTGCAGTAAGTGTTTACTCTAAACGAGGTTTCATTTATTTTCCTATTTAAGGACATATTTTCCCACAAACACAAATATAAGAGTCTCTCCACAGTTCCTCCAGCAGGCGGCGCTCGACGCTTCACAAGCTGTTTCTGTCTTTACTCTATTGGAGACTCAAATATTGTTCAGTCTTACTTGTGTTCATATTTCCTCTTCTTCATCATCTGGCGATGTGGTTTGATGTTTTTGCTGAACGTTCGAGGTTACTGAAGTAACCCTTCGGGAAACGGAAGTGCTATAAGTGGATTTGATGTTCTAAATCCACGTATGGGAGGATTCGGTTCATAAGCCGCTTGTCTGAAAGAGTATTGAACGGGCCAATGAAAGAATGAATTGGCAGCGTAAGCTTGCGCAGGTGTGCTGCATCGCCAATTAACTGAGCATATAAGCACACCTGGTGCCAGCAAACGCCATCCTTTTTAAGCTGAAGAGACTTTTAAACAGCTAAGGGACAGTCATTATGGTGACTGAGTATAGCACTTCCGTTCCCCTCCTCGGGGAACGAAGGGTTACTTCAGTAACCTCGAACGTTCCCCTTCGGTTGGGGAACTCCAGTGCTATAAGTGCCTAACCAGGCAGGCAGAGCCCTCGCTAATGGCGTCATCGCAACAATCGCTGACGTACCAGCGGAGGGGCAGCGAGGAGCGTGTGTGCTTTTTCTTTTCTTTTTTTCTTTTCTTTTTTCTTTTTATAGCACATTTATTGTGTATGGCCGTACACCCAAAGCGCTTCACAATCATGAGGGGGGGTCTCTCCACACCACCACCAGTGTGCAGCATCCACTTGGATGATGCGACGGCTGCCACAGGACAACGGCGCCAGTGCGCTCACCACACACCAGCTATTGGTGGAGAGGAGAGACAGTGATAGAGCCAATTCGGTGGAAGGGGATAATTGGGAGGCCATGATCGTAAGGGCCGATAGAGGGACTTTGGCCATGACACTGGGGTTACACCCCTGCTCTTTCACGAGAAGTGCCAGGGGATTTTTAATGACCACAGAGAGTCAGGACCTCGGTTTAACATCTCATCCGAAAGACGGCGCCCACTGACAGTTTAGTGTCCCCTTCACTTTTACTGGGGCATTAGGACTTACACAGACCATAGCTTGAGCGCCCCCTGCTGGCCTCACTAACACCACTTCCAACAGCAACTTAGTGTTCCCTAGTGGTCTCCCATCCAGGTACTGACCAGGCTCAGCCCTGCTTAGCTTCAGTGAGTAACCTTGGGCTGCAGGGTGACAGCGAGGGTCCGGGGGATCCGGGGAGCGCGAGGGTCCCACAGAAGAGCTGAAGGAGAGCGATTCGCTCTGGCTCCGCACCCTGACTCCGGAAAGGGGGCTTGGGGGCTGGGAGAAGGAAGACCGCTCCCCAGCGCCCGTGAGCCGCTGGCGGAGCATGTAGACCCTGCGAGCTGAGAGGCGGCGCGTCCCAGACTGGCAGGGCTTGCAGTGCTCGTGAGCCACTGGCGGAGCGCACCGAGCCTGCGAGCTAGAGAGCACAGTGTCTCAGACTGGCAGATTTCGGGCTGTCACATCCGGGGAAGTGGAAAAGTGCCCTTTCAATTCATGGCAGTAAAAGGTGCCGTTGGAAATGTCGCCCCGCCCTCCAGCGGGGAAGAGCAAGTTCCCTCTTCTCCAGATGACCTGTCCCAGGGACGCTTCGCGATCCGTTGCCGGACATAGCGGCGTTCTGGGCAGGGGAAGCTGCCCGCTTTCGAGGTGCTCGACGCGCTCGCTTCGCCAGAGGTGGGGGCGGTGCAGCTCTCGTAGGCGGGCGCCTTCGGCGAGGAGCAGGTATGGATGGCACAGCAGGCGGAGCGGGTTTACGGATCCACCGATAAGACATCACCCATCAGACTGCTCTCTCACTGCCTCAAATTCCTGGGTGAATTCGCAGACATTGTCGCCGATCAGCTTGGGATATGGGCAAGTCAAGAAAGCGGACTTTGTCGACTTCGTGCATACCAGCCAAGTTTTAGTCAAGGGTGGCGCTCCTGGACCACTAGTGTGGACATCATCCTCCCCAAAGCACACACAGCGGACTTAGTTGTCCGAAGAGCTTAGTCGGCTGCGGTGCGAAAAAAGCACGAGCAGAAAAAAAGTGCCCTTCAAATCCGCGTGAGCCTACTGTGCACCTCCGGGAAGAAGGGAACGCCCCTTTAGTCGGTCCGGCGACTGGGGGATAAACCATCTCCAACCCACGGCCGAAGCAGCCCGGGAAAGCAAGGCTAACACATCCGTTTCAGGATCCGTTTTGACAGCGCTCACCTGCCCGAGGGGGGCGAGCGGGTCTGGATCATCATCGGACAATGAAAGCCCACCCTCCGATGTCACAGTGGATATCTGGTCTCCGGTGTGATCGAGCGTAAGGGCTACCATCTGTTAGACGGATCGCTTCCCTCGCTCAAAGCTTAGATGGAGTGCTTGGAGGAGCGAGAGGTCCGCGGGCGACGGATTATCTCTCGTTGAACCCTCAGATCTGCCCGAGTGCCCGCTGCAAAGCAGGGGACAGCTGGGGTGGTTCGCCCTTTTGCAAAGGCTAGCCGCGATCTTTACTGCGCAACAGTCATAGCATCGCAATGACGACATGAACTGCCTGCGAGCAGCGCATTACATGCTGGAGCATGTAACGCAGTGCCCGTGCCCATCATCCGAGGACAGGAAACCACAGCATCCAGAAATGCACAGTCGGACCGCCGTCCTGAAAAGGACGTGCTGCACGACTGTGTTGCTCTCTTTGTGAAGTTGCGACTTTATACGCACCGCTCTGGAGAACCGGACCCAAAGGAACGCCAGGCAAGGGAGAAAACCTAGCTCAACCGTCTGCCGCTGCGTTGTACACACTCTGGACCAGGAGAAACTCTCGTTCGCTGGATCACAGCAGGAGGAACCCTCATCGACTCGATCAGAAAAGTCTCTGAAGCGAAAAGGATGGCGTTTGCTGGCGCCAGGTGAGCTTATATGCTCAGTTAATTGGCAATGCAGCACACCTGCGCAAGCTTACGCTGCCAATTCATTCTTTCATTGGCCCGTTCAATACTCTTTCAGACAAGTGGCTTCTGAACTGAATCCTCCCATATGTGGATTTAGAACATCAAATCCACTTATAGCACTGGAGTTCCCCAACCGAAGGGGAACATTTGTCATCATGTCAGTTGATTGTGGTTGAAGTGTTTCTGTGCTTTATTTCTCTTGTGAGACTCTTATTTTTACAGTTACAAACAAACAACTTTACAAT